TCAGGAAGAGCCTACAACCAAGCATATGCCCAACGATTCCCAACAGAGAAACATTTATGTGCGTTCCTGGAGTATCAGTTTATAGCAGGGGGCTGCGATAAATCAGCATACGTCCCAGTCGTTGCAGGAGGAGACCATTCTCTTTGTATCCACTACACCCGCAATGATGATGTATTCAAAGAAGATTCCTTGGTTCTAGTTGATGCTGGGGGAAATTTGGGAGGATATTGTGCCGATATATCTCGAACCTGGCCCGTCAATGGGAGATTCACAGGTCCCCAAAAGGAATTATACCAAGCAGTACTGAATGTGGAAAAGAAATGCATAGAATACTGTACAGAGAGTTCCAATATGTCCTTACAAGATTTGCATAATGAGAGCATCAAACTCATGACTAGAGAGCTTCGTAATTGTGGATTTGGTGGCCTGACCCAATGGGAAACAATGAAGTTATACCCTCATTACATCGGACACAACCTGGGAATCGACGTCCATGACACTCCTGGTTACGCTCGTACCAAAAAATTTCAGGTTGGAAACGTGGTTACCGTAGAACCAGGTGTATATGTGCCCGAATCAAATAATTATCCCAGTTCCTTTAGAGGTATCGGCATCAGAATTGAGGACGATGTTGCCGTTGGAAAAGATTCCAATATAGTTTTGAGTGTGGAAGCCGCAAAAGAAATAGAGGACATTGAGAGCATTGCCGCTAATGGTGTAACAACCCCCTTGTCAGAGGTTGTGAATGTTTGGAGAGATGTCAAATGAATATAGCAAATAGAGTCTGTATAGAATACCTGTCAATAGTGCTTCATAATGGTAAAGAATTGTAAACCATAGTACCAACTTCTACCCCTCGTAGATCGTCGTCAATTTCATTTGTTGTCTTTATTAGTTCCTCCAGTAGTTCATTCTGATTTTGGTTTTCAATGCAAACGTAGGAGATTGTCGAAGTTTCATAATCAAACTGAAAATTCAGTCCAAGAAGGTGAATCAGTTGTAAAATTTCCAGCTTTAGTTGAGGCTCATCTATAGCCAACCTTGTGGCAAGATGGAACGTTGAGGCTCTCTGAACCATGGATAGATATATCAAATACTGACGGAATCGAAACAACAGGCTAAGTCTATCAATTTTCTTGGAAATGAACAGGTCTAACTGAAAATAAGGTAACCACTCTTGAGACCAAATCTTATTGCATGATTGGAATGCAGCGTTGGTAAAATGCTCTAAGAAATTATGAAGCTCTGGTTGTTTAGTGAACACTAATTGGAATTTATCCATTGAAATCAGATCAAACATTTCATTGATGGGCTGCGCTACAAGCATTGACAGAATGATCATCTGCAAAACGTCATTCTTGGACACAATGTCATTTTTCCAATGGTCATTAAACACTTCTATTGCTGATATTCCTTGGAGTGGCTCTGATCCCAACATATCAACAAAATTTTTGCAACAATCAATATAATCCTGGTTGGAAAAATAGATGAACGATAGTAGCCATCTACATCTCCAATATGCTATTGTCTCTGTTTGCTGAGACTTTTTGAAGGGTCTTGAATCGCTCATATAAAGTTGTTCTGTCTTACCTGAGCTGTTGTCTTCACTATCGTCTTCTTCATCTATTGTGTCAGTGCTAGGGACCTCCAAAAGAGTATATTTCGCAGCAGTGAGCTTTTTGGTCACAAATGGGATATATTTGCTAATCTTTCCTTGATATGTGAAAAAAAGAATGAAAGCCTCCAGGTCCTGTGCCACAAATTCTTTCCACAAACGGGTGTTATAAGATGATATCAGTCCTGATAAAAGATATGACTCAGCGTTGATCCCCATAATACTTGTTAAATAATCACGCTTCAAGATGAGCTCTCTCAAGTTCAAGAAACTACTGAATTGAGAAACATTGGTCTCATATCGTTCAACTTTCCTATCCAGCTGAACCAAAAGATCAGGATTACCGTTAATTTTGTTCACTACTTGTTGAAACTTTTCCTCGTCCTCAAGAGCCACATACCGTTGTAACTCCAAGATGAAAGAAGGTAAAAATTCATGTTTGTCAGCTATCAGCAAAATAAACTTGACTATCTCTGCTGACTTTTCCGGAGACAGCAATCTGATATGGTTTAATCTTAGAAACATTATGGGTGAGGAATCTGTTCGTTAGTATGATCAATTAATAATTCAGCTTACCAGAATGCTTGTATGGGTGCTGTTCAGCACTGAGCCTGGAGTTGCAAAAAAGATGAATCATCTCAAAAACGAGAACCCTAAAGCAATCAAAAGGCCCAACAAATCAATTTAAAATACTCACGATCATATTTCTCAATTAGATTATTCATGTAACCTATCAAATAGTCAGATGAGTCCATTATTGACGTTTTTGAAGGAGATGCAGTTTGTCTATCAGCGGTCTCCACTTTATCTATCATTTTGGTGACATTTCGCGAGACCATTCACTAGATGTATTTTCTCCTCTCCTTTTGATTCGAAATCTGAATCAGACTATCTCTTCTTAAGGTCAGCCCACTAAGAATGATACGTCTGGGGCTTTTGAGAAGGTTCCACACACTTGTACCTATTCAAGGGAATTTCAAGAGTAAACTGAATGTGGCTACTAAGTATGGAACAATCAAAAAGACGCTGTCCAAAACCCAACTGAAAAAGATGCAGAAGCAAGAGAGTGCCGAACTAATAGCTAAAAATAAGAAACAGCTGACTCCAGCAGCTGCATTAAAATTGGCTAAAAGTATTCTAGAAAATGACTCCTTAGATCGGGTAGACCCTACGGTAGATTTAAGTTTACAAGATCTTCAAAGTCTATACCAGCATCCAAATCGAAGATTATTGTATAACTTTCTGGGGACTTCTGGCGACCAATTGAACGATTCCTATGTGATTGAGAAGGATGTTTTAAAGCTCCTAGAGCGTGATGACTTACCGAGGGCTTTGTATTTGGTCAGACTTGCTAAGGATAATGGCATTGTTGGCATGAACAGGATTATGCAATATTTGTTAAAACAAGACAAAGTCAGCTTAACTTTTGAATTGATTACACTGCGTAAGAAATGGGGTGTTGCAACTAACAGTTTAACGTACACGATAATATTTCAAGGCTGTGCCAAAGCGGAGTCTAATTTAACTCTGGCTCAGTCAAGGCAACTCGTTACATTATTGCAAAAAGCCCACAAAGATAAACTAGCTAACGTCATTCATTTGAATGCTCTGCTTGATGCAATTTTAAAGTCAGGAAAATTTCACTTGGTCTGGGAAGTAAAAAAATCGTTCATGGATACTCTACCAAAGATAGAACCCGATGCAATCACATATACCCTTCTATTCAAGGCTCTGGGGAAATCAGAAAACAATAACGAAGCTTTAGAGACGGCTAATGTTCTATGGGAGGAAATTGTGTACAACAGGAAGATCAAGATAGATTCGTATTTGGCTAGGGCCTACGCCTTGCTCTACTTGAGGTCAAAAAACATCGAGTTGATAAAACGTGGAATAATAATCTTGCGCTCGTACTACGACGTGTGTCCTGTTGATGAGGTTGAAAATGTTTCCATGAAGCCTCATATAAAGGCTGACACTGTACCTGTATTGCTTCCCGTTGACACCATAAACCCTAGAAAATTACGATTTCAACCCGATAAAGCTGTGGAAGAAATCTTACAACATTCATACATGAGATTGACTAAATAATTTGTATATAGGTTATCAGATGGCTCGCTGTGTAGCAGCCTAGATGACATTCAAAGTGTACTTTGAAGAAACAGTCAAAGGCCAATTAAAAAAGGAGTTCCGAAACCGGGAATCGAACCCGGATCTGCACGGTGAGAACGAACTGTGATAGCCATTACACTATTTCGGAATTTGTGACACTTTTTGTCCATTTGAGAATAGATTGAGGTTTTTGATGACTTCTAGTTGTATTACTTTGCTCCTAATCGTTACCTTAGCTATCTCCCACGAGATGATAGATCTGTAGTTATTAATCTTTGATTGAATTGTAGTTCGAAGCTTACGTTTTGTGAGAGATAACTACATCTTTTGGATTTTTCACATTTCATGGATTTACTGGAAGACAGCCTTATATCTGCTGACTTGGGGTATATTTTACGCATTACAGCCAGTTCAAAAGAGAAGAGGCTTTTTTGAAAGAATCGCTTGCAAGTTGCAGCCTTCTTTGGATACAATGAAGATCACACTATTGCACTAGATGACATATTTCGGTCTAGATTGTAAACAAACAGATTTTCAGTTCAAATAGTCAAGTACTAATAAAGAAACAGAACCATTCATTTGACCCCCTTCGAATTGTGACTCCAATTAGATTACTATGAAGTGATTAAATGTAAATATCAAAAAGGAAGTTCCGAAACCGGGAATCGAACCCGGATCTGCACGGTGAGAACGAACTGTGATAGCCATTACACTATTTCGGATAGTTCATTACTCAATCTTAGTTTTGGAGCTATGCCATAGTAGTTGAGCCAATAAAAAAATATCAAAAACGAAAGTTCCGAAACCGGGAATCGAACCCGGATCTGCACGGTGAGAACGAACTGTGATAGCCATTACACTATTTCGGAATTTATTACACTTTTGCTAATATTTTTCGTTAAATTAGGTTTTCTATTTTAAATTTCTGCTTTTCATCCTTAGACCCAAGATCTAAAAAAGGCTACTAAACATCGACAAATGTTTCATAAAGTGCCTCTGTAACATCTTGCTAGTTACGCCTTATCTGTAACAAAAATTAATCGTTCATGTTTTCCTCAAATAGCAAAAACAAAACTACACTATCTACTTAAAAAAGCGCTATTGCAACAGCTCGGTCTATTTCAAAAAACCATACACAAAATTAGTTGGAAGGATAGGTTGTTGTTATTTGTGTTTGAGTTATCTCGGCTGCTGATCTGTGGATAAGGGTAAGTAGATTGAAACAATTTAGTATACTTGGAACATATAGATGACAAATGTTTTGCCTTCAGTTTGATCCGAAATAGTGTAATGGCTATCACAGTTCGTTCTCACCGTGCAGATCCGGGTTCGATTCCCGGTTTCGGAACTCCTTTTTTTCATACCTGGTCAATCTAAATCTCTACTAAACGAAAGTCTACAAATTGGTAATCGGCCTGCATTTCAAGATGATATTCAAATGTCTTTTTGACGAACCCTGTCATCAAAGATTCTGACGGGAGCATTGGCCGCTTGACTTCGAATTTGGGGCTATAGTAACGTCATGTCCATGCGAAGAATTTACCCCTTCTTCATGAACATCGGGCCGAATAAGTTTATTTTGATAATATTTCTCGGGTCTATTTAGAATTATGTCACTTTTCAACAATGTCATCAAATCCTCAGTTGATCTTTTGTGGACTCAGCTGCGCCCGTCCTAACGGCTCAGGAATGGCAGTGTATTTTTTCACCTCAAAGCTGCCTCTATGGCCAAGTTGGTAAGGCACCTCACTAGTAATGAGGAGATCATCAGTTCGAATCTGATTGGAGGCATTTTTTTTTACATCCGATCTTTACCTAACCAGCTGGATTCTTGAAGCCTTCTTCTACTTTTTCTACAGGACGCTACAAATGATTTAGTTATATTTCTAAATAGTGTTTCATGATTTTTCATAAAGTATATGATCTTAGCTTGCAGAAAAACATACATCTAATCCAATGAAGAAGCACCGGTAATAATGTCGACCAACTCGTTGGTAATGACGGCTTGTCTGGTTCTGTTGTACAGAATGGAGTACTTGTTGATCATGTCACCTGCATTCTTGGAGGCATTGTCCATTGCATTTCTTCTGGCAGAAATCTCGGAAGCATAACCGTCAGCAAGGGCGGACAGAATGGAGTTAGCCAATCCGTACTCGGAAAGAGTAGCTGGAATTTCGGCGTCTTCGTCAACTTCGAAAGTAGACAGCTTCTCGGAAGACTTGATGGCGTCAGTGGAGAAGACGGAAAACTCAGATGGAAGGAAAGAAACACCAGAAACGAACTTGTTGTACAAGACCTCAACCTTTTGGTAGTCGCCCAACTTCTTGATCTCGTCGGCAATCAAAGCTGCCTCGTAGAAAGTGGGGGCCTCCTTACCAATTCCGTTGAAAGAGAGCTTGACATTATCTGGGTGTGTTCTAAGCAATTGAACCTTGGTTTTGTCACCAATGGTAACGACATCGGCATTTGGCACATCCTTCAGTCTCAATCTAGCAGACTTGGCAATTTGGGAGTGAATGGAACCACATAGACCCTTGTCAGAGGAGACAACAACCAACAATGTTTTTTCAGCATCTTCTGGAGCCTTGGTCTCAGCAGTGGTGAAAACTTCTTGGTCTCCCTCATGGTAAACTCTGGAAGTGGCCATGGCCCTCTGAGCCTTGTTCAATCTGGTGGAAGCCACAATCTTCATGGTGTTGGTGATCTTCTCAATGTTCTTAATGGACTTTAAACGCATTTCAATCTCACGTAAAGTTGCATAGTTTCTACGAATGATGTTAGTAACTAAGGCTGAAAATTGGCTTTGAAAGGAGTTCTGTACTTACCTTGTGGAAGCACCGGCAGAGCGGGCAATGTTGGCAACACTTAAACGAAACATTTTGTTGTGAGGTTAAGAAACAGGCAAGTTGTGAACCAAGGGGTTTTGTCTTGATTTCGTTGTTCAGTTTAATTCGTTCAATGGGAGGAGGCCTTTATTGGTCTATACACGACGGGCTTGGGAGAAGTATTGGAAGGGATACGTGCGAGGATGGAAATGGAGCGACTCTATTGGTGGAGGAGGATTTAGGGATTTCCCGTTACCCGGCAGTCACCAAGACATCGTGATTAGATAATCTATTCTCTATTTAAACTAATCCTGGGGTGAGGTACGAACTCTATGATATATTATAGTAGTAAGACTGTACTTGGTTTTGACGTATTTGGGACAAGAATGGTTCAGAGCTAATCCTGTTTTGTTCATGAGTTTCAAAAAGTTTGATGAAGTCGTCAATATGAACTAGATCACAGTGGTGTGCCCTCACATTCTCCGCCTGGGCATATTCGTTGATTGAGTTCTTGAGTATTGATTTAGGTGAATTTGTTAAATTGGGTGTTGAAAATATAGTAGAATTATTCTGGGTTTGAATGTTTCTTTTAGTACGTTCGTTTTTGCTGTAGATGATCAATTTGGCGCTACCCTGGAACTTAATTGATCCTTGAGGATGAACAGTTGGAGTGGAGCCATGGTTTGAAGCAGAACGAACGGAGAATAGAATGGATTCAACATCTTTATTTTCTTTGTCTTTGGTCACCTTTAGACTGTCAAAAAATTCTGGATTGTTGATTGTCAGAGGTAATTTTTGTAGTTCTTCTTTTGTAGGATTGAAGGTAGGAACAGAATATGATTCGATTAGACTATTCCTCCCTGTTAAACTGAAGGTTTGATTTGAACTCTTCACGTTGGATTTACTTACAGTAGAGGTGAAGTCTTCCTCCTCCAGAAATGGAGACATTGACAATTCCTCAGCCGGAAGTTCTGCAGGTTTTGATGAATCTTCTGAAGCCGTCGTTTGAGACTGGGATGCCAATTGGTTTGCTGAAAACTCGTCATTTCTGCCAGTACTCAACTCTGAGTCTATGTCCATAACTGACTGATCAGAGATAGACGAATGACAACCTGCAGTAGTTTTCAATTCAATATCATCCTCTAGTAATGAAGATGAATCCAGAAATTCTGAAGTATACAAAGTCAATGGCATAATGTAGTCTTCATCAGTTTCATTCTCATCATGTTCCGCGTCATCATGATGCCAATCGGCTTGACCTTGGATTGATTCTTTTCTAAACGTGTAATTGAACTTCTGGGTCAAGTATTCTAAACCCGACCTGTAATCAACTCGTCTCTTCTTCCGTTGAGGTAAAGAAGATTCTGAATCGATTTTTTGTTTCTCTTTGAACTTCTCCTTCCACGCATGCAAGAATGAAGTTCCCTCTCCATGCCCACTAAACGATTGAATTCGGTTCAATGTCTTCCTCTTACGAGTCTCCCTGCTCTGTTTCTCTGGATTGTGATAACTTTTTTTACCAACAACGCTTAAAATCCTTTGAGAGTAACCACCCCAGTCATTAGTGCCCTTAGGTATGCCAATCTTGTCGACGGAAATGGGAAACTCATCATTCTTCAACAATATCATCTCCTTTGAAGGAAGTAGCTTTTGATAGCCAAGAAAAGAGCAGTACTAGAAAAAAAAATTACAGTTGGTTTCTCAAAGCCAACTTCTTAGCCTAGCATAGCCGAAGGAAAACCAGGCACAGCATTTTTCCTTTCTGTGCCACATCCACCTTTGGAAGGCTCTATTGTGGTGAATTGATATGGCCATCACATAACGTTTGTGATATGAGATGCAGTTAGAGCTCGTCCCCAGTTACCCTGCCTTGGACGATTTTGGCTGGAGTTTTTTTTTATTTTCTCTTCTTTTCCAACCCTCAGAAATCCACGTCATAGATGCTAGATATTGTCCAATTCATTGAAGAGAGGGGTGGTGATCCGGAGGCCATCCGCAAATCTCAAAAGGCCAGAGGAGATTCCGTCGAGATTGTTGATGAAATCATCTCTGAATACAAAGAGTGGGTGAAGATTCGATTCGAATTGGATGAGATGAACAAGCAACAGAACAAGGTCCAAAAGGAGATTGGATTAAAGTTCAAGAAGAAGGAGGACCCCAAAGAGCTGTTGCAGAAGAAAGAGGAGCTCGTCAAGGCTAAGGAACAACTCAACTTGAAAGAACAGGAAGCCGATAGAAACCTCCGTTTCAAAGTAAATCAAGTTGGTAATATTGTGCATGAATCAGTTCCTATTTCAGATAACGAAGACAACAATGAACTGGTCAGAGACTGGGCTCCGGAAGGAACCAATATCAAAGAAGTCACTAACATTGCTACGGCAACTGGCGCTCCTGCCAAGTTGTCACACCATGAGGTTTTGCTTCGTCTGGATGGTTATGATCCAGAGCGTGGTGTTAAAATCGTTGGTCACAGAGGTTACTTCTTAAGAAACTACGGTGTATTTTTGAACCAAGCTTTGATCAATTACGGTTTGAGTTATCTGGCACAAAAGGGTTACCTCCCTTTACAAGCTCCTGTTATGATGAACAAAGATGTCATGGCCAAAACTGCACAATTATCTCAATTTGACGAAGAACTATACAAGGTTACCGATGGTGATGACGAAAAGTACCTGATTGCTACATCTGAGCAACCGATCTCTGCATATCACTCAAATGAGTGGTTTGAAAAGCCGCAAGAACAGCTGCCAATTCGTTATGCTGGTTTCTCTTCTTGTTTCCGTAGGGAGGCTGGCTCTCATGGTAAGGATGCCTGGGGTATCTTCAGAGTGCATGCATTTGAGAAGATTGAACAGTTCTGTCTAACTGAGCCTGATAAGTCTTGGGAAGAGTTTGACCGTATGATTGGTGCCGCTGAAGGGTTTTACCAATCCTTGGGTCTTCCATACAGAGTCGTTGGTATTGTCTCTGGTGAGTTGAACAATGCTGCTGCTAAGAAGTATGACTTGGAAGCCTGGTTCCCATTCCAAAAAGAGTTTAAAGAGTTGGTGTCATGTTCGAATTGTACCGACTATCAATCTAGAAACTTGGAGATCAGATGTGGTATTAAGTCTGTTACCCAAAAAGAGAAGAAATATGTTCACTGTTTGAACTCTACATTATGTGCCACAGAAAGAGCTCTGTGCTGTGTCTTAGAGAACTATCAGACAGAGGATGGACTGAAGGTGCCTGAAGTGCTGAGAAAATACATTCCAGGAGAACCTGACTTTATTCCTTTCGTCAAAGAATTGCCAAAGAACTCAACTTCTCAAAAGAAGAAATAAATTAAATAGTTATAATTCATTATGGTCCAATGTCGTGGTGCTCACTGTAGTGGATGGTGATGGTATTGAAAAGGATGAGTTGATTGCCTTGATTATTTTTCTGTTCAACGAGGAGGTGACTGAACTGGTGAGTGATTTTGTAGTTGAAGATGAGGGAAGGGTCTTCGCTTTCAATGAGGAAACTGATCCTATTGTTTTTT